AAAAATATTTTTCAGTTTTTTGTCTCTGGAGATTCTTTTGGTCTACTGTTTGCTTCACTTTAAAATATTATTTCACCAAGAGTATTATCTGACTTTTGTTTTTAGCTGTTGGAGGTGACCAAGTTAAGTGGGAATTTTTTAGCTATACATACACACAAAACAGTTTACACTCATCCCCATTTTGGTTGACATTTAAAATCACGTAATATAATGCTTTTGTTCAAAGACATTCACCAGAGCTAAACTACTAGCCAGAAATCTCTCAGAAATAATCCCAAGCATTTTTTGACTAATAACTACTGGTTTACACTGCTACACAGATGATGAAACACATGAAAGCACAATTATCAGAAGGCATGAGAAGGGTTCAGGGATTATGAGCATATCATCCCTATTTGGTTGGCCACATGATACCAGGATGGGCACAGTGCTTTAAAACAGGATTTTCTGACAGACCTGTGTACTGGAACAACTGCTTATTAAACCATCACTGCTGCTTCTTGCATAAGTTTCAGGTCTTAAAGAAGGAAAACAGGATTTGAGCACCTCCATCATAAATCCTCAGTAAGTTAAATTAAATACAGGAAATCCATTTATGGTGTAGGCCTTGATCAGTATCACACACAAATGTCCACATGCACGGTTATACACATACTATAAAAGCACATTTCAGGAGTGAAAGAAACAAAGATGCTATCAGAAATAAAGATGTAGTATACCTGAACTAAATGACTGGCTCTGTACTTTGATTTTCTTCACTCTCTTGCTTTTAAGTCCTAGCCCTCCATTTTTAAATTTCACTTTCAACAATGATGCCTTGATGGTCATTAAATATTGAATCCCTTCTGAAAGGAGGGTGGTTTCTCCTTCTGCAAAGGATGGGATCTGTCAGCTGCTTTTGCAGTCACATCAGTGTGATCTTCCTCAGGCTTTCCTGCAATCTTCCATCACAGAAAAATGTCATTTTGCATCTGAGCACCTTGTTCCCAAAAGGCAAGTGAAAAAGGGGTTTTTTAATTCTGTTTATCTGATCAAGATACAATTGTTACTTTACTTCATCTTTTTTTTTTTAGGTACATTTGTGTTGCCCAGTGCTTGCTGTCAGGTTGAGGCAGCTGGGTGATATTTTGGCCATGTATGCCCAACTCAGCAGAAAGAAGGAGCAAGAATCATCTGCCTTATCTGAGAGATGAAAGACACCACCTATTATCTGAGAGGCAGCCACTTTGGTTTGCAGAAGGGGATGGATTTCCTCCCTGGTGACAGGCAGAGGCTGTCTCCACAACTTGCCGTGGCCAAGCTGCAGAGACCTGGCGCACTGCAGCACGCTGCTGGGCTCAGCAAGAGGCAAGGGAACCTCGGGTCAGGCTGGGAGAGGAGCAGACCCGGAGCGTGCTGCAGCCCTGCTTCGTGCTGCTTCACACAGCCGGCAGAAAGGCAGCAGGAGAAGGGTTCCTGCTGAGCCCTTCCTGCACCCTGCGAGAAGCAGCCCTGGAGGAGAGGCAGAATGATTGCCCTGCGAGGTTTCACCACGCTGCTTCATCTCTAGTGGCTCTGAGCAACGGCGTCATGTATGTATAAAAGCAAATCCCTTTTTCCAAGGTTTGAGTAGACTGTAAACAGCACTTTCCCAGGGCCAGGAGGATTTCCATTTTATTTTCCTTTCCTTGAGCACCAAAGTGAGAGACTAAAGAACATAATTCATTTTATTTATGCTTCTGTAACGCTTTACAGTCAATAGAATATTAAAACAGTGAGCATTGATTCCTGAGGCTTTTGGGTGGCTGGGCAAAAGAGATGGAATCTCCAAATAGCACCATCTCTGAATGAAGTTTTTTCCCCTGTAATAATTATAAATTCAAAATTTATTTGTTTACATAATCCTTGTAAAAATTCAATTTGAAACAAATATCACAAATATTGACTGTTAAGTTCAATGAGGTAAAATAGCTTAATTTGGTCTGAACTTCAAAATTATATTTTTATTTTGCAATTCAATTTGGGAACAAGAACTATCAATACCTTTTGAGTCAAAATTTGTATTTTTTCTTTCAAAATAACCTAAAAAAAAAGTATATAAAATAAAATAAAGAACTCATTTAATTTTTCTCAAATATTTTGATTTCTAGGTGGCCTAAATGCTATAGTTCCTAGTCCTAACTTCTTTATGCTTTTGATTGAAAGATGCTGATGATACAAAGTGGAATACCTACAAAGGCAATGAAAAAAAAAAAATCTTTGCAACAGTTTTTTTCTAGCAGTCTACAGCAGGGTGGGCTGGATGGCAAAGCTTAAACAAAAACTGAGATATTGGAAAATATACACTTGCGTTCATTTCAAATAACCATAATTACTTAAGTTTATAATGACACACAATCAAAATATGATTTAGGAGAGGTGTCTTTGCCACTGTAAAAGCCTTTTCTTGCTGAAAAACATAATAATAACCACATTTAATGGCAATCAAGATGCAGCTGGATGATTTGATGTGCTCTTTGATAACTATTTCAAGGTGTCAGGACATGTGAATATCATCTTTTCCATGAGAATTTATTCCGTCTTAATGTCGCTGATGCAAAGGTGGAGATTTTAACCTATTGTGCTGGGTTAAGAACAAAAGGAATGTGTTTGTGCCTAACATCTGCTGGAAATGAAAGGTCTGTGGACTGCTGACAAGGCCTGTTGACAGAGCATGGTGAGAGGCAAGTTAGAAAGGAAGGACTGCAGATGTCTCTCCCCTTAATGTTAGGGTAATGGAAAGAGGAAGAGCTACACAATTGGTGCAGTGCTCGGCCCCAGTCCTTACCACTCCTCAGTACAGATTTTGGGTTTTTTTCCCTAGGATTTGGTGGACTGTGGAAAATGACTCTGTTTAAAGCTGATCTGGACATCATTCGTAAGAACCATCTGAAAGTGTTTCGTTAAACCATCTGTCTGGAATACATCATTGTAATTTGAATTTTTGTGGAAATCAGAACATTCCTCAAGATTCAGAAGTTCAATACCAGCCACAAGAACCAGAGGGGACTTGGATGAGAGAGGTTGTGTGATCTTTTAGTTCTCAAAAGTCCTGTTAATACCTGAAATCTGCTTGTTTTTTCACATTGTGATTTATTATGATTTTCTTTCCTGCTCTCTACAGTTTGGAGCATCTTCCTGAGTCTTATGTCCCCCATGGTAGTTTGGAGGTGGCATCTTTCTTGGAAATGGTTGGGAATCTTAAGCATGTTCCCATGCTTAAGAGCTAACAGTCTTGTGACCTCTTCATTAACTAAGGGGTAGAAGCACTCAGTTTTTCAGATTTGTCCTGATGAAAGGAACAGTTTCTCATTAGAAATTTCTGTATCACCAAGAGCTTGGGATTAGAACCCCTTTACTTATTTTTTTTCATATATGATTCTCTTAAACAAACAGATCTCAGCTTCATATCATATGGGCACAATCATGGATGGCATTAGCCAGACAAAATACATAAAACTGAAGCCACTTATTGCTTTCCAAAGCCTGGGCATTGAAGGTGGATTCTTTTCTCTATGACTAGTGCAACCTGCCACAAACAAAAGGTGTGGGAATATTTGTCATATAACAGGGGATTCTTTGTTTACTGCAAGAAAAGGCTTAGCCATTATAAATGAAAGAAAGGTCTGAAATTATCCTCAAGGCAGCACAATTCAGAGGCATAAAAAAAGTGAGAAATGGATTTCTGGGACTGTGCAAATCTCTTGAAAACTAACAGATAATTCCCAACTTATGCCCCTCTGCAGGGGCCATAAGCAGTGCTGCTGCAGATCAGTGTTTAAAAGAACCTATACACTACACACTTTTAAACACTGCAGATCAGTGTTTAAAAGGGCTATTAAACATTGTGTCATCCTCCTACCCAGTCAGTGTCCTTTGTACATGGAAGGGACTGGACCCACAGCTGGGGTCTAGTGCAGTGAAGATGTTAAGAAAGTGATCAGCAAGAGCAGCTCTTCCCTGACAGCATACATACAGCACTTCTCATTATAAACTGGCAGAGCCATGCATTTTTTTCACTTTCTCTATTCTGCAACTGGCTATTCCCAGGAGACCTCAACCTGCCAGAGCACCTGCTGGCAGTACCTCGCTTTTCAAGACTTACATGCCCTTAAAAGTGTGTGTGTGCATGTTGTTGCCAGAGTTTTAGGATAAAGTCTGTATTCTTTTACTGTTGTTTAGCCTTTCATACAGCTCCATACTATAACCACCAGAGAATAAAAGCAAACTACTTACTCAGCAGTAATAAAATATAGTAACTTCTGAATATTTTATGACAATGCTTTAGGTGTAGACTTTATCAGAGTCTGTTACAAAATAATTGTGTTAAGGAAATGAAGAGAACAAGTGGAATATAGAAGGAGAATGGTACATATTCAGTCTTCACTTATTATCCTCCACTTTTAAATTTTCTTTTTCCACAGAACTTTGTAACCATTTAGATATTATTAACATCAGTATTCCATTAAAAGTTAATTTTTATTAGCCATAAATATATTTAAAAGTAAGCCCTCTCTGTATAGCATGCATGAAATAAATTGCCACAGTGGCTTATGCAAAGCAAAAAAAAGTAGAACTTGACACACTATGCTGTAAAGTATAGGAATAAGATTGTCTTTTCCTCTGAAGCTTAAAATGCATCAGTTCCCAGACTCTGGTGGCACATCCTCCCTAAGTGTAATGTGACGACGCAGCATTATTACAGTTTTTCACAACTTATGCAATGTTTATGTCAAATTTTTGTCTGTTTCTTTGTGTATTTATGTTAACCTTCTGTGCATGGATCAATTGGACCATTAGAAGTTTTACAGGATGTTGTTGCCTAGCTGAATTTTCCCACATGTTCCTCAAAATTATTTAGAAAACATGCAGTCAAAATATGTATGCTTATGTTTAAGTAAATTAATGCAAACCAAACCAGAAAAATGCACAGTAAACTATAAATATGCATGAAAAGTTCTTCCTCTCTTTTTAACAAAAATTATTTTTTAAAAGGTTTCCTTTACTTTTCTGTTCTTCCAGAATTCTTTTTTTGTTGTCTTCTCCTTTTGTGTTTCAGCTCTTCTGCTCCTCTCCTCAGATATCTTTCCAATTCTTGGATCTTCTGTGTTTCTCTGATTTAATGAAGATAAGAAAAAAATAAACCCTCAAACATTAATTAGTTTGGCAAGATACTCACACTGAATGCTCTTTATCAGCATGATTGGATTAATAATAAAGTTCATTAGCAAAGTATTTGTGCAATTATTTTATTTGTTTTTACAGACAGTGTCATCATTAAGATTCAGAGCTAACAGTCAGATGAAAGCCACAGGACAGATAGAGAAGGCTTTTCAGTTGTTATGTATGCAGAAACAAACTTCACATTGGTATGATCCCCTGTGTGCAGGTAGACATCCAGTGGTCTGTTTTAGAGGTGAAAATATTCAAAGCGTGTTGTAGATCCAAGGGTACTATCGGAGCCCAGATGGTGTGGGGTGAGCAGGTCCAGTGCACCCCATAGCTGAATGGCTCCCCCTTTGCTACCTCCTCTCTTATGGAGGTAAAATACTTGCTTTCCCCAGTCACACTCATTTCTCTATGTGCAGAAAGGCAGAAAGAGTTTGGTTTAAGCTACTTTATGGAATTGTACTTTATACAGTACATCCCCAAACATTTTCAAACTCAAACTGTTTGGCAATCTTAGAATTGTTTTGCACCTGTAGGAGCAGCTCACGTATGGTCCGCTATCTTACCATCTAGACAATAATCATGTATTCAATTTTATACCAAGTAGGATCTGAAACAGCTGATGAGACCTGGATAAAGGGGTGCAACAGTCAAAGGCTTTTACTTTGAGTATATCCTACAAGTTGCCTGAATGGTACATAATTGAAGATGTTTTCACATTTGGATAAAATATTTATCCCATTAATGTGAGGTAACATACCAATATAGAAAATCTACTTTAGTTAGAACCTACTTCATTGTATAAATAATAAAGTTTGCCTCAATCTGTTAAAACCTACTGACTATATCTGCCTGGTCAACACTGTAATATTACACTACTTTGCAAATAGGAAGTAAAAAAAAACCACCCCACAATTAAATTCCTTCTGCCAGTGGGAGGAACTGTGCTTGATTGCAGTTGTTGCTGTTTGCTGCCCCTCATCGTTGCTGCCCAGCCCTATGACACACCCTTGTCAGGGGCTGACTGCACAGAGTCCCTTGCTGTCCCACTGCTGCTGGCCCCAGCATGTGTCACCCACCCATGCCACCAGGGCCTCACTGCACACCACTGGGAGGAGATTTTGTGCAGGACAATGTCATAACTTTGAAGGGGGCTTTGACGGTACCTTTGATTTCCTTATGCACCCTTAGGGGTCCTTAAGGATAAGACTCTCAGAGAGTATGGCTCTGCTCTTGGGCAACTCCATGGTTACTTTGGCATGTGATAAAAGTCAATTTAATTCCTCCTTCTTCAGGCTTCAGAGCTTGCTGGCTAATCTGCTAATTGGGTTGGAGAAAAAGGAGGAGGAAGTGGAAAGAAGGGAAGTGGTGATGAGAGAGGGTGAAACCCCATTGCTGTCAGGAGTAGTAACAGGTCCATAGAGAAACAGGTCTTTCAAAAGGCTTCTGAAGGGTCAAGGTTTTCTCTGACCTGTTTTAACCGCATAAGAATTTCAGCTGTCTGAATAATTTCTGGTCATTCTCTGCATTTTAAGGGAGCCAAAGTAAAGCTCTCCAAGCCCTAACAAAATGTTGCCCCTCTGCCACAAGATTTGCAGTCATCTATATCAGTTCTCTAGTAGCTCCTATTTCCAAATTAACATTTTATTATAATTAATGTGGTATTGTACTTTTAAAAATCATTTATAAATATGTATAAACTGAAATAATCTGTAGCAGAAAGAAATTTGGAGTAAAAACATTATGAAGCCTGTGCCTCTCCAATATAAAATATTATAATATAAACATATTGCACATAATTACATATAATGACAAATGTGTCTCTGTGTGGTGTGATTAGTGCTGCTGTAACAAAAAGAAAGAAGAAGATATCACTCTAGCTGTCAGCTATGTCACAAAATTAATACAGATGAAGCATCTCTCTCTCATCCTTATTCTATTTACTCATTAAATAGTCACTAGAAACTAACCAGCAACTTGTATTCAGCTATAGAGTTACATATATCCAAGAAATGAACATAAAAAATTATCACCTTTACCCCCTTTTTGGGGACAATGAGCAGCATTCAGGTTAATATACCTCATCTACACAAAGAACATGTGCAAAAAACATGCAAAATGACTCACCAGCTTCACAAAGAACAGAGGAGTTTTGCTGGAGTTACTCAGCAACCAGATGACAAATTATGCTCTGAGCATGCCTTCAAAGATTATTCTTATGGTGAGACCTAGAATATTGTTGAAGAAGAATCAAATCTAAATTGTATTAAACAAAAACAAACTCTTGAGTAGCTCTATGAAGCTCCCATCAGAAGTTTCACACAAGGCACCTTCTGAGAACAGAAACATATGGAATACCTTTGTGAGAAAATCTCTGGAAGACTCCTGAAAAATCAGAGCAATTAGCATGGAGAAAATGATGTAAAGTTGGTCGGATTATTTGAACAAACATTTCAGAAACCTCTGCAAAATTTCTCAAGCCCTGCTTGGGAGAAAAAAAATCCACTGATCTGAGAGTAAACAACAAACTCCCATGCCTGGGAGAGGGCAAAGTGAGGTAAAGTAAGCCACTCCAAATCGGTGAGTGGACTAACCAGTGAACTGTTGGCAAATGAACGATGGCCCAGTCTTGCCACCTTATTTTTGTAAGAAGTTTCTGAAGGCCTCATTTTTATCCACAGATGTAACAACACCAACTTCTAAAGTTTTGATTTCTCGTAGAATAGAAATTTTGTTTTCTGGCCAGCTTGAACACAGAGCAACTAACACCAAGTGCTGAGATGAATCTAAATGTCCTGGAAATTGGGTGATTAAAAATGATATCTTGGAAGAGGTGTGAAGTTACCTTGGAGCAGATGTGAAGTACATTTTAAGAAATATAAGCAATCACACGTTGTCTCCTGTCCTAGCGCTGCATTATATTCCAAGCCTTCCAGACTGTTCAGGACCACTTACGAAATACATGCATTAAACCTGTAGCAAACTAATCACCCAGAGTGGAACACGAAAAAATACTCCATGCTCCCTTTCATATAAAACAACTACTGTGACAGTATAAGCCAGTAAATGGTAAACAGAAATACAAAGGGAGGCCAAATTTGTCTTGGCACATATAAAAGTAATTCTCATAAATATAGGGCCTGCTTATAAATCTAAGTTTATTGCTGGCTAAATGTCCACAATAATTTTTTTCAGACATGTAAAATGCACACCGTCTTTTTGAAACTGTAGACAGAAGCAAAGTTCTTCTTCAATTACTAGCACAGTAATAGACATTTTCTTGCTCTCAACACCTCTGAATTGTGGGGAAAAAAACAATCTTAGACATATTTTTAGGTAACTATACATCCCCCTCTCCCTCCATCTTCCTTTATTTTTTTTCTAAAGAAATTAAGTAACTCATGAAGGATCAAATGAATATCAATTAAGTTCACACAAACTTTTTTTTTTTTTTTTTGCTCACAAAAGATTAATAACCAGAATGCAATATTTACTACAGGGCTTTCTTTCCTATAAGAGCCCTTGATTTTGCAAGAACTGAAAAATGCTTATCATCTGCCTACAAAATCACATTTTTTTACATGAAATCAAAATATTATGTGAGTAATAGTTCCTGCAAATAAAGAGCTCAGCCTTGTGACAGTGAGATCAAAGAGGAATGAGATTTTCAGATGTGTAGAAGGACCTCCTCAATGAGAGAGCATCTTTACCCTCAGATGGTGGGAGCTCTCCTCTATCTTCTGCTAGCTTTTTGCCTTATCCTCATTTCCCAAAATGACCCTTTCTTTTGCTCCCTCCAAGGGAAGAGGAGCAAGAATGCCTGGGATGTGTGAGGTCAAACCTTGTGTGCTTGGATGGTATGATTCATTGTCCTAGAGTGACAGACCACTTGGCACAGGATGGGCTGCTGGCTGAATCTGGCTTTCAGTAAGTCATGCATCTTCTTTCAAACAAAATTACCTGAAGTAGTTTCAGTTTATTCTAGCCAAAAGAAAAAGGTATCAGAAGAGGCTTAGTCAACTCAATTATTTTGGCCAGTCTTGCACTTCTCTAAAAGCAGGGAGGACTGGAGCTCCACATCCTCACTTATAGCCTGGGCTTCAAAATTACTCTGCAAGCAGTAAAGCAATAATGCTTTTATAGTCAGAGTCAGAAATTTTGCTGTCCAAGGGAGTGCCATGGGTGCATCCTGCAAAAGCAAAGGCAGAAAAACCCTTGCAGTGAGAGCCATTGTCTCCTTTGCTTCGTGATAAACTGCTGGCTTCTGATAACAGCTGTAGCGTTTCAGCACACAATCATCTTGCCATTACAAATGCTCCAAGGACAAGCAGGGCTGTACTCTACAAAGATCTTGTTTCTTGTAAGTCAAACTCAGCTCTAAAGCCTACAGCAATCTCAGACCTCTGGGATCCTTTGTTTATTCTTAATTGGCTTTTAAGATCTGAGAGAACAATTTCAGAATGTCACTGTTATCAATACAAGGCTCACATTTCTCAGTCCCTTTTGTTTGTGTCATGATCTTCTAAATTTTTTAATAATTCCATTTTGGATTATGGGCTTAAAGTGGTCATTTTGAAAATTTCTATTTCAACATTTTATTTAGAATGTACTGTGAAAAAAAGTAGGCTTTCACATGCACTTTTTGTAGACAGCTTTTCTTGAAGCAAAGATTTTGGGAGAAGATTTCAAACATCTAGCATTACCACTGACTTAAAATGTTATTTTATGTTAGATCTGTTTTAAACTCTTCTGAAAATTAAATCTGAGCACCAACAAAACAAACTATGAGGTGTCCTAGAGCAGGAAAATGCTGCAATTCTGAAGCATACAAGTCTCCATTCAGCCTTGTTTTCCATCATAGTTGCAATTGAGATTCACTATCTGAGTGGAAGAGCCTGGAAACGCTGCAGTAGACACGTGCACAAGGTAAGCTTCTCCTCTTAACCCTCTTACCAGAGGTCACCAAATCTTACCAACCATAGGAATTTCATCACATTCAAAGCTACTAGCTTCAACTGTTTTACTGGGCATTTTTGTCACTTGGTAATGTCATTTGTTTGTGGCTTGTTGTTTGGTGTTTGCAGAGCTTTCATAATTTATTGCCTGATTATGCCACTGAATAGCATACACAACTCTTAATGACTTCAAGGGGAGTTTCACACAGAGAACATGGCAATATAACACAACACTTCTAAAGTACTTCCTATAACTATTCATGACTTTGTCTACATTGGTGTTAAGATGTGAACTGAAGAATGGAAAATTATTCCCAGTAAAACCTTTTGTTATACTCTACTTTGTGTGTTATGAAGAGAATAAAAATTTGCAACGTTATGATTCCAAAGCAAATAATTTTCCAGTAAAGCTGGCCAGATAGAAATCTATATGAAGAGGTCTTGGCACACATAAAATTTAGCAATAACTGACTGAAACTGATCTATAAATGGGAAATTGCAAGCACTGAGAAATCTCCAGGACAAATAAGTGATTGTAAAGCATCTTCTGACAGTATGTTGCGAGCAGTCAGGTAAATTTGTATTCAAATATTCCTAGTTCCCTGCTGAACAGAGGACGATGTCCACAGTTAGGGCATCGGACAGTGGCATCATAGGGTGACCCTCTGTTCACAAAGGTAATTATTGTTAATTTGCTGCATTTAAACATTGAACTAGCTCCAAGGAAGGCTGTCCACCAAGATATGAATGTATAAATCCCGAGGAGACAATATCAGGGCTCAGAAAATGTCCCAGTTGAACTCATCAACCTGGCTAGAATCTTTACTGACAAAGAGGTGATGAGGAAGAAGATCAAAATTGATTTCCAAAATGATTATGACACCTCCAGACCAGAGGTTTCTAAATAATCTTCCAATACTTGTTGATAGCCTGTTTCTCTGAAGGACAAAAGGTGATTTACAAAGGTGTCATTGGAGGATGAAGATGTAACAGCTCATCCCCAAAACAGGTCATGACGACCTTGTGAAAATTACATTTTGCCAAGAGAGGGAGAGAGATATAGCTCAATATGCATGAATTGTAAGCAGCAAAGACTCATGCTTTCCTACCATTGATGAGAAACAAACTACATTATGTTGGAGAACTAAGATGGCATCTAAATTATTCCAAAATAATTTTTTTCTTTGCTGCTAGCTTTGGTTTAAAGGCCCTCAGATACTCAATCTGAATTGAGTAGAATCAATTGAAGAAGAAAAATCTGAAGGGCAAAATCTCTTCCTTACCACATGCAATGATCATTGAGGACAGTAAAGCAAAAAATATTTCAATCAAAACCAAAGGAAGTATAACTTGGCGTCATCGAATGTAAGTCTTTTCAAATCCTCCCATTGAAGAGAAGCGTATTCACAATAGGCAATACACATATCTTTGCAAGGATAGGATTAAATCCACAAAAAGTTGATTCCTGGCTCAGGAGATCTTTGCAGACAAAGTGAATTTCAGTGGAGATTAGGAAACCAGCTCTAGAGACAATTCAGATTGCATGAGATACCAAATTAGGAAAATCTTGTTCTTAATTTTATATTCTCATAGAATGGCCTGTGTTGGAAGGGACTCTAAAGATCATCTAGTTCCATCTTCCTGTCATGGACAGGGACACCTTTCACTAGACCAGGTTGCTCAAAGCCTAGCCTGGACCATGTGCAGAGATGGGACATCCACAGCTTATCTGGACAACCTATTCTAGTGTTTAATACCCCTCACAGAGAAGAATTTCTTCCTAATATCTAATCTAAACCTACCCTCTTTCAGCTTAAAGCCATTATGCCTTGTCTTATCACATGTCTTTTTTTCCAACAGGTCATCTCAGCAGGGTTTTTCAGCAAGACTATCACTGTATCAACACTTTCCAGTGGACCATAACTTCCCTGTCAAAGAGGACAAGAAGGACTAAGTAATGATCTTACGTGACCCTTTCTCTCTTATTTTCCTTTCTTGACACTTCATACTGTTTCCCCTTCCATGATTACCCTACCACACCCCTCTTTTTCATACTGAGGGAGGAAATAAGGTATCTACTACCCAGCCTCAGTGCAGCAAAAGAAAAAGGGGAGCTACTTCAACTGTAGAAGAAATAGATATTTTATTTCCAAGTACAGGAAGCAACATGCTGCCTTAAGACATGAGATGTTAGAAAATGGTATACACCTGCTGTTAGCTGCCTTTGAGTGGTTGTAAAGCATCTCACTGCTATGCTAACCAAGTCAGAGTGA